TAAATATCTGTGGCCTCTTACTTTTCATTTTGCCCTGTGAGCACAAACAAGTGCTCAAATCTACCTGAAAAATAAGTACAAAATCTGATTTAGCACTCCCACCCACACTTGTTTTGCTATTTGACATAACTGAGGGGCTTGGGAATCTTCTAAACCCATAATAATAAAAAATTAAACTCATTAAACTCAATAATAATTTTTTTAAAAAATAATGTTTTCATCCCGGTAACCCAGCTCCCACCATCAGCACCCTCTGTGTCCTCAAGCACAATTTCTATCCCTCCCTCGAGCTGTGGCATTTGCTGGAATGCTGGAGAGGCTGTATGGAGATCAGGAACTGTTATTAGGGTGGGTTGGGATCATGAGCGACTTCTGTCCCTGAAGAAGACCTGAAGGAAAATTTACTCTGGAAGACATTGGGATGGTAGCAAAGTGGTCCCTAAGAAGCGTTTCAACTTGCAGCTTTAATGAGGGGATACCTGTCACATTTGCCTCTGCTTTATAGGCAAGAATGAATAACACCACCCTGCCTTATTCTGCTGTTTTCCAGCCCCAGCCGTCTGAGCATAAATCCTCAATTAACCTGCCTCAGTCTTGTTACTCATTGTGAGCAAGAGTTGTGGGTATTAGCAGGCAGTTTCTTTTGAAAAGAATGATAATGATGTAATTAATATTGCTGACATTTAAGCACTTGTCATTATATTTCAGAGTTAATGATCCTTCAAGAGATATTTTGGTAATTCAGATCTCCCAGAATTGTGTTTTCAAGCTGTTTGAGATGGAGGAACGTAATTTGTTACTCTGGAACACTGTTAGTTTATATTCATGAGGATTTCATGGTAGCATTGAGGCATAGTTGGTAATGCAAATTTAAACTTAGCTCAACAGATAAAGGCTGTCACCTTTATGGTATCTCCAGTAAGTGTGGGATGTATTTTTTTGGGGAAAAAAAAAAATAATGATTAATTTCTTTTCATAGGTTTCCAGGTTTGTTTTATCATGCAGTACTTTGTAACTTAGCCTCAGGAGAGGTGGAAATGAGAGTAGTCATGTGGGTCTGAGGACCACATTATTCTATGTGGTATTCTATGTATATTCACATGTTATTCTACTAGAGTAACAGCAGCCACTCTTGAGAGGAACATGTTTTTCCTAATTCTGAATAAACACAAGGAGATGGGAGAGGTAGAAACATGCATCTCATCTTTCTGCATCTCTTGTCGCATCAGTGAGAGGAGCCAGTCAGCAAGGGATTGTTTTGCTGCTTTTCTCTTTCAGGTTTGATTTATACTCTCGCAGATGCCCTGAGTTTAAAGGAAATAAGTTATGGTAGACCTATGTAAAACAGGCTCCTCTGTCCTGACAAGATCCCTTTCGGTTAGGCCGCAGCAACTTAAGTGAATTTATGAGCTCTCCAGCTGTGTAACACTGGCATAGTAAATTTGCTTGTCGGGCTGTTGGAACCCGTTCCAGTAAGAGCAGAGGAAAAACCAGAGGAAACCTTCTGAGCATGCAGAGGGGTGGTTCCGAATTCTTCTTCTTTTAACCAGAACAGCAAACCCAGTGTCATATCCTGTCCATATTTACCAAGTGTGTTGCATGTGATTGCAAGTGCTGAAACAGCAAGATGTGTTGGGAGGTCTTGGGGACAGTATGATGATGGGTGAGAACTCAGGTGTTGCTGCAGTGCTTGTGTGATGGCTACAAGTGCCTCCAGCTCCTTTGCTCCCTTGCTTCTTACCTGACTCTGCCTTTACAGGCACTGGAACGGATACTTCCCTTTGATGACGATAGGGGTGAGGGGAAGGAGGACTTGAATTAAGGCTGGATGCAACAGAAAAGGTCTTCCAACAGAAAACAGGGCAGCAATGAGTACGTTCTTTCTGCAGTTGTCTGGTCTTGACATCCCTCTGTGGCAGGGGGAGAGTGAGTGATTGTCTTTGGAAATGTGCATTAATGTGTGTGCTGCCCTCAGCTTTGGCAGCTGTAGCTTATTGTAGGGAGGAGAAATGTGTCCTGCACAGCTCCTACACATACACGCAAGATCAGATGCGTCGGGGTTTGAGGCCACGCTGAGACAGAGCCTGCACTGTAGGGTAGAGAAAGAAATTTGGCCAGCTCTGTGCATGACATTTGCCTTGATCTTTTTTACTCCTAATGGACCTTACCTATTAGAAGAAAATATTAAGAACATTGGTGTAGCCCAGAGAAAAGTAGTATCTCTGATTTGCATTTTGTTGTTAGGACTGAAAACAGACAAGGGAGCTAGTTGCTGGAGAGCCCTCTGAGCTAACGTCCCTTCATTCCTCCTAGCAGATGGATGTTGGGAGCAACTGGAGAGAGCACTGACTAGAAACGTCAGGAGCAGATGGCAGAGTCAGAACATCAGGGAGAGGTTCTTGAGCTGAATTTGTAGTGTGCTGTGGCTCAGCTTGAGGAGCATAGACCTGTAAGCAGGTACTCTGAAGCTTGGATTCATACCTGAGTTGTCTCTGTGCAGAAGCTCAGACAGAGCCTGGAATGTCATAAACCCAGGACCACCAAACTTGGTTTATACTGAGACAAGCTTGTGACTTGCTGTGGTCATTAAAATGCTAATTAATGGAGATCTTAAACTGTTAATGCAATTTGGTACAACAATGCATGACATTCTGGACTTTCCAAGTCGCTCAGGGTCACATAAGCCACCTAGAGGTAGGTTGGACAGTAGAGCTTCTTGTAGCTTCTCAGCTTTGCCATTCTCATCATCTGTGCTTCTGCATGGTGTTCATCCAAGATGACCAGCACGAAGCACTGCCAGAGCAATGGGATAGTGGTTTTGATAAGTAGACAGTAGTCATCTCTGGTGTGACACCAAAGACAGAGGAAGAAGCGTAGAGAAAAGCTGATTTTTTTAATCTAATAGATAATTGGAGAATCCATATGGTAGAAATTTTAGTAGACAGAGTGCAGCAAACTTCTCTTTGAGGGTTCAGTCAGAGCATCCTTCTGAAATTTAAATTGGCTCTCTACTGTGGAAGCACAGACTGGGATATGTGAAAATGCACAGTTAATGCTTGTCTTCATGTGTCTCTGGCTGACTTCTCACCAGTGTTATGGTGGTACTGTAACTATGATTATTAAAGCCAGTTAAACTAATTATTCGTCTGCTACTCCATGTGGAAACAGATCAGTCCTGCAGAACACAGAAAAGATGTTTATGACCAAGAATGTACACAATTGAGTTTCTAACATACATTGTCATGTTTTTAGAAACCAAATTGCAAAGCCTGCCATATATTTGACAGTAATTTAATTTACTTTCTGAAAAAACAAGTTTGTCTATTCAGCAACATGCTTCCAAATTCCTCTTTAAAAAGAATGCTACCTGGTTTATTCTCGTTTCAAACAGTAGTAGTATTCCAGATTACTTGTAGAGATTTTTGTGGCTTTTTGTTTGGTTGTTTAGTATCAATTTAATTGCTCTAATATGGCTTTGGCTTAAATTAGAGGCTAAGCAGGATGACTGACCTCACGTATGTGTTGGAGATGACATCTTAAGAAGGTGAATAATGCTGTTGGTGTCTTGTCCAGAAGCTCTGCCACTTCCTCTGCATTTCCTGGGCTTTGCTTTTCTTTCAGTGGGACTAAGAGTCTGTTACTGGATACTTGAAACTTCCCCCAACAAGTTTTCTGATGGTTTTCCAGTATGTCATCTAGGAGGTCTTTCTGCCCCAAATCAGTTATTTCTACAAAGGAAATAGAATTGATTGTCAACTAAGCAAATTCAACCATATGTTGAAAGATGTCAGTTAAAAGCTGTTGTCTGTAGACTGGTCATTATGAAGTTGTAGCCATTACTGCTTAACACATTGATGCAGGGGGAAAGCATGGGGAAAATATTCTTATTAACAATTTTAAATAACTTTTAATTGATTTCTAGGAAGATAAATGGTTTCATTTCAAAGTCTTACAATTAAGTACCTTCACTGGAATTAAATGTTCATGGAAACTTCCTGACAATTGTTCTGATAACCAAACATGAAAACCTCTTATGATCTTCCCAGATGTCTGTACCCTCATTCATAAAGTCAAAAAATTGAAAATAACTTTGCCTGCAGAATGCCCTTTGTTTAATTTACATAATGTTATTCATCATTCCATAATTTAATTAAGAGTAGGAAAAATAACAGGTCAGCATTCAAACTATATTGAAGACTTGGTAGCTCTAGGGAAAGCACGAATTTTGTCCATCCCTATAAGGGCAGTTATGTAATAGCACGAATTATTTGGCTGATAGGGAAGTTTGGGAACAAAGATAGCAGCTGAATAAAATCTAAATAGTTTTCTGTGGCAGTCATGTGCTGCTTCTGAGCGTAGAAGAGTAAGGATGAAATGTGATAACATTTGGTTCTGAGAACGTAATAAACAAACTATAGAGAATGAAGTAGTTCTTCAGAGAGCAGCAATTAAAATATCACTAAATATGACAACCATGTTGGGTGAAAAGAAATTTTCTAACTAATGTGCCCATTTTAGCTATCTTCTGACTATATCCATCTTTCATGGAAGGAGGTACTCTGTAATGATTTAGGCAGCAATGAAATACCCAAATCAGTGTAAAATAAAACTGCGCCTCAGACACCAGTGGGTGCCAAAAATACTTCAGCATTAGAAGCAACTGAGGGCTTGACTGTAAAAGCATCTACTTTGTCTTCTGTTTAAGTGCGTGTTTGTCCAGGGCTGAGCAACCAGTTGTATATTTTGTCCTGAAGTCCAGCTGGATCCAGTAAACCTACCTTCTGGCAGTGCAGATGAAGGGATTTGTTTCTGTGGGATATTTTATCTTCAGTAAAATACTAGAGGGAGGCAAGCTGCTGTAAGGAGGAAATGCTGAACAGCCACAAAAGCATTAGTCCTCTGTAGAGTATTGCTCTCCCTTACCTCGTTACTCCTACGAAGGTATGGCCCTTGTATTTCAAATGTGGATTAAAACATGGCTCTTTGTTTTGTGTTTGTAGGCCACAGACCCAGACGCTGGTGTTAATGGTCAAGTTCATTACAGTTTGGCAAACTTCAACGATCTTTTCCGAATCACATCAAATGGTAGCATTTATACGGCGGTGAAACTGAACAGAGAAGTAAGGGATTTTTATGAACTTATTGTTGAAGCAACAGATGGAGCTGTAGACCCCCGCCGTTCAACACTCACGTTGGCAATCAAGGTGCTGGATATTGATGACAACAGCCCTGTTTTTACTAATGCTTCCTACACTGTCTACGTGCCAGAAAATCTGCCCCCAGGCACTGTCTTCCTGCAGATAGAGGTGAGGAAGCGTTATGGAGTGAAGGAGATGTTTTGTCAATGTTCTGCAGCACTAGGCGTGGTCTTATTTAACTTGCCAGTGGTACTGCAGTAAAAGCTTGCAAAGTGGAGTAGGGGAGGTGATGACACTTAACAGACTGAAAAAATTCAGGACCTTTAGAGAGGTACATAAAAATACCTTGAAGCTGAGGTTTATTCAGAAACGAGCAATTATAAAAAAAAAAAAACAAGCAACCAAACTTAGGCTGCTGTTGTCGTTCCTTGGAATGTTGTTTTACAAGTTTAAAGTGCTTTTGATTTGTGTTTAAAAGCTCATCATAGTGCTTCTACCTGTTTATGTTAGGGGGAAAAGAGAGCTTTATCTCAATTGATTTAGACATTTAGATCAAACCTAGATGTCTAACCTCACTTTACAGTTAATGGAGATAAGTAGTTGCTTCCAGAAGCAATTTATCCAATACCAAGATATTATCTAAGATAGCTGGGAGTAAAGTGGGCACCTGGACGTGTTGTCTTTTCTTCATTGACTGTAAACGATACTCAGACAAACGAGAGTTAATTGTTCAAAGACGAGCTAGATCTCTAAAGGCAGGTGAGACTCCCTGCCTGCAAGTAGTGCACATGTCCTCCTCCTGATGTTGTGGTTGGCATCCTTTAATAAGAAGAATCTGCCCTGAGACAACTTCAGCAAGAATGGGTTTCTCTGAACTTGATTGCGAATGAATCTAATGTCGAATTACAGCTAAAGCAATCACATAATGCTCCTTATCCTGATGAAAATTAATATTTGTTATCTAAATATTGGTATGAAGTAAAAACATCTGTGCTGCCATACAGGGTAAGATCAAAGGCCTGCTTAGTCCAGCAGCCTCTCCCTGGCAGTGGCAGATATATCGCAGGTGCCCAGGGAGGAGAACAAGAACAGACTGAGCTTCCAGTGACTCTTGCCCAGAACATGGTGTTCGTTTCCTGTGGCAGGTAGCTCTGGATTTTATAACCTTAAGTGGATTTGTCTTCCTCGCATCGTGCAGTGGTATTAAGTACATCCAATACTATTAAAAGAATATAAAGGAACAGAAGTTGTCCACAGTAGTATGCTTTTTTATGTTCTTCAAACCTAGTAGGGATTTTTTTTTTGTGGAAATGGATTTTGTTTGGGTTTAATTTTGTTTTCCTGCTGGCATGCTCTAGGCAAAGGATGTTGACCTTGGCTCTGATGTCAACTATCGGATACGGACGCAGGAGGCGCTGCAGTATTTTGCACTCAACAAGTACACGGGCGAGTTATCGCTTCTGAAGTCCTTGGATTATGAATCATTCTCTGACACAGAAGCAACCTTCACCTTCCTTGTGGAAGCCTTCGATAGCAAGGGCACTATGCCTCCTGGCCTCGCTACTGTCACAGTGAGGGTAAAGGTAAGAGCAATAACTTACCAGTTGATTGCGTCCTCTCCTGTTTGTTGTAAAATACTTCATCAGCCCTTACAGCTGCCCCAGTGAAACACCACAGCACCGTGGCACTGTGTCTGCGTTCCTGCTTTTTTCACTTGGATGAAGTTACTGCCTCTTTCTGACAGCAACTTGTTCTGTCAAATGTATGCTTTATAACAGCTGTAATTACTTTGCAGTATGCAGTTGCGTAGTTAAATCTTGGATCACAGATTTATGAAGTACAAGAACACCTGACACATATATAAACATTTAGTCCTTTAGAATCCCTGAAAGGTTGAAATAATGGAATTGTTTGCAAAAAAATGACACCGTCACGTTTCAGTTTAAGCTCTCATAAATGGTAATTTTATGAGCCATTCAGATGTATTGAGTGCTGATCTGACACACCAAATCCCATGGTTCACATTCTGCTGCTTGAAAATACAGAGCTGCAAAGGAACAGGCTTATTTAGTGCTCTTGCACAATGAATTGTAGGCGGTGAGTGACAGCAGCATCTCTGGGTGTCAGTTCTCTCACTAGTAATGTGGAGATAATGGTATTCTGTTTGATCCACAAATGAAAAGCGTTTGTAGCTGAAACATTAGCACTTACCCCTCTTAATTAGGTTGACGTGCTTGTGTCCAAGAGGAGAGGGTATTTTAGATGCTCTAAATCATGCCTCCTTGCATTTAGAAAGGTGCAGTTCCGGAGCCCGTCAGTCGAGTCCTTTTGTGCAGTTGCTTCATTTTTGTGGACTTGAAAGTGAAGAACTGTGAGCTGTGGGAGAGAAGAGGGTTTAATTACTTGTATTTTAGCTAAGAAGCAAAAATTGTAGCAGGAACAAAAGCAGAGCTCACAATCATGAACTTCCTATCTGACAACTTCAGTCTAAATGTGAGTCTGTAGAAAGTGTTTAGCATATATGAATCAGTCTTGGGTTCAGCTTAGTTTGTATCTGCAGATGCTGTGAATTGCCACATGATTGTGAGTAATACTGTTTGTCAGTCTCTACTGAGCTCAGAATGATTTTAGGGCCAGTAAATGTCTCCCATTATTAGTTTTGATGACAACATAAGCCTTCTACAATGCTTCTGTCTCTGCAAAATTTATCAGACTGAGATGGAAGTCACTTCTTTCCTAATAGCTTGCACTCTTCCCCAGCAGTTTCCAAGTCAATCGCAGAAAAAATGTGGCTTTTGACATTACTCCCTCAGCCTTTTCTGTTACACTTAAATGGAGGAACTTGCTCAAGCCTATTTTTTTCCTAAAAGAAACTTTTTCCCAGCACAGGGTGTTTATGGAAGAATTAACTGTTTGGGTGGCTTTGTTGGCTTTTTGTAAAGGTACTTGTTTTCAAATAGGACCATGCGCAGACAAAAGCTGTAGTCTGTCTCACAGGGCTGATGTGGCTCAATGATTGTGTGTTTGTCTTCAATTCGTTCATGACAGGGTACAGCAGAGCAATATGGTTCAGCTTGGTGGCCTTAGTGTAACAGCAGCTCGTGCACTGTCAAAGGAGGTCATGTGGGAACAGGGAACTTAAGAAGGGTCAAAAAAAAAAAGGGTTTCTTTTTCCTGCAAACTTTTCCCACGCATGAGCAACAAGAAAGGAGCGTGATGATACCTATCATGGAATTAGAGAATGGTTTGGGTTGAAAGGACCGTTCAAGGCCATCTAGTCCAACTCCCCTGCACTGAGCAGGAACAGCTTCAACTAGAGCAGGTTTCTCAGAGCCCCATCCAACCTCATCTGGAATGGTTCCAGGGATAGGGCATCGACCACCCCTCTGAGCAACCTGGGCCAGGGTCTCATCACCCTCAGTATAAGAAAATTCTAGTCAAAGCAGTCAAAGATCTAGTCAAAGCAGTATGTGAGAGGCTGGAATACTGGGCAGGAGCCAGGAGCAGAAATTTCCGCAGTAAAAGTTGTTAGGCTGAGGACAGAACAGGTCTTGAAAGTCAGGACAAGCAGCTTATATTTTAAATGAGAAAGAAAATAAATCAAAGAAATTGAGTATTGTCATATTGAGTCACAGGCTGACTTCTGCAACAGATCAGTGAACAGACCTGAGTATTTTATATATTGGTGGGATTAATGTGATGCTTAGATTCCAGCCTTGAGTGACAGGTAGAGCAGTAGTTTTTTGAGTGGCAGTTGAGAGAATGAGGGGGACTTGGGGAAAAAAAAACACGCTTAATATTTTGTTGGGCAGATAAAGAGTTATATGTCAGATGGGAGGAATTTAGAACCTTGGTCACAAGAGATATCTGGAATAGAAGGAATGGTTTAATTGTTCCCTCCCACTCAGCCTCTCTTTTGCTCTTGCTCTGGGACCAGGAAATGGATGTGTCTGTTTCCTCTTAGTAGTAAGTGTGCTTTCTCTTTATTTAGAAGATGGTATTAGAGTAATTATTTCAATAAGGTGTTTGTGACCCTAAATAGGAAAGGAACCAAGTGTAGATACGTTGTAGACCCTGACATAACAGTTGTGCAGCTTGCAGTCTTTAATAACACAAAATTGCAGCGGAGAAAACCCGAAGCGAGTGTTAAGGCACGAATGGGTCCAAGCAGGGAATTCATGTAACCATTAAGGATTCAGTCCCTAGAATCCTCAGAGCTTTATTTCTGTTCCAGAGGTCTCCAAGTCTTTTTGGAATTATGCTGTTCTATTAACATTTGTCACTTCTCACAGTGCAGCTCTTCACCTAAAGCGCTATAATCTTTCCTGTGTGACAGGAAAACCAACTATGTGAGTGTTTGTGTGATAGTTTAACCAACTATGGGCAACGTCTGGTGGTGTCATACATGATTTCTGTGGTATAAAACCAGGTGAGCAGCTGTGCCACATACCCATAATCACACTGATCTTTCTGGCAAGGAGGAGGGTGGATATGCACAGTGATGTTCTTTAGACTCTCACTTTTAAGCCTTTGGCATGACAAAGTGGAAATAGTTTGTATTAACCTTCCCTGAACTTGATCAAAACGCAGATTGCATCGCAGAATAACTCGCTGCAGAAAAAACAACTTGATCTGTTACGTGCGTGTCAGGACTGAAATAGATTATTGGCCTGTGCTGCAGCCAGGTGGCTCTTGGCATTGCACGTGTCTCGTGGCACTCACCGAAGAAAGCCAAAGGTAAATTAATGACATGGTACGTCCTTTCTGGTATTACTGAGGAGGAAGAGCACGGATGGCATTGATTTCTTTTTGCTAAAAGATGCAAACCACCTCAAACAGGCTATGATTTCTCTTTTTTTTCCTCAGTTCTCAGAGTCCTCTCATTGCTTTCACAACCTTTCATCTTAACCTGAAAGGAGTAATGAGTCCTCTTCTCTGGGGATGGCATGGGCACTAGTGTTCAGCCAGTATAACTAATGACTCTGGTTTGTAATCAACTCCACAAACCTTTTTTTTTTTTTTTTTTTTTTGTTTTGGTTTTGTTTTCGTTTTTTTTCTTAGATGTAATAATACAGGCTAGACATGGCAAACTTTATCAGTCTTGAAAACATAGTCTAAGGGCTAAAAACATTAGCAACTCCAAGAAACAATCAGCATACTATTTTTTCAGTGGCTTGCCACTGTCAAGGCATAATTTCTGTCCCCGTGAGAACAGCAGAGATTCGGGGTCGTGAACTCAGTGTCTGGGAGGAGTTTGCTCGGGGCGCTTGTGGCACGTGTTGGAGCACACACAAGCGTCTCCTCACAACAAAGGTGTTTCCCAGTACTGGAGGAAGTGAAATCGTCACTGTAAAACACTGTGCTTATTAGGATTTCACATTTGGAAACGATTACTATGGTAATAGAGCATCTTAACAGAGCCAGGACTAAGTGTTTTCCAGTTGATATCCCTGTTAAATGAGGAATGTGTTCCTGAATACATACTCTAAGTATTTTTGTATCATGAGGCCTGTGAGGGACTTGTGTATTTTATGCTGTGTCCTCCTCTTAGTATTATTACCAGCATTATCTCTATATTACTTTGTCTCCTCCCTGTTTGTTGTAACTGCTTTTTTCTCCTCCTTCTGTGGTCTGCGAATGGTTTGCCCTTTTTTTTTTTTCAAGTAGAGTATGTAGTGTAATGAAGCCATTATGTCTGGCTGATGATTCAGAGTGACAGAGCAGCAAGAATAAATAAAATCAGAGCTATCTGTTTCTAGCAATTACAAGACTGCCAACCAAGCATTTCATATAATTCCTCCCATGCCTTAAACCTGCTGGACTGTTACAAAGATTATATGGGTCAGATTTAGTAAATTAATGATGCAGATTTAATAAAACTAACTATACCCATGAAGACAAATAAACGCACTGCTGTCATCAGAGATGCCATTCTGGTGACCATTCATACTCCAGTTGGAAGCCAATGGCATGATCTTGGCTGTCACGCTGCCCTAGCAGTGCCGAGCTCCCACCTGCTCACAGAAGAAAGCTCCCTTCTTTCACTGACAACCTAAACCTGGAATCAGAACAGGGAGAAATAGAATTTGTTTGCTTTTCTCGGGTGGGAGGGTTAGAAGCAGCTGTGTGATGCCTCAGTGCTTCATTATGGTGGGATTTCATGTCATGATGAGTTTTAATTGCAATAATAATGAAAATGTTCTGCCAGAAATTATACAGATAATGAAGGATACATGGAAGATAAAAGACATGAGTAAATCGATTAAGGTCAAACACATCTCACCAATTCCTAACATTTCTCAAATAAAACTTGTTTTTTTCAATAAATTTACATCCACAAAATTAATCCTTCCTATCTAACACATAATGAAAAACATTTTCCCTTTAAAGAATAACAGAGCAGTCCAGCTCAGCAGCAGTACATAACTTACAGGAAGGTTAAAAGAAAAAAGAGATGTGTTGCCTCCAGAATATAACAGCTTATTTATCTATTTCCTAGTGGCATTAATGAAATAACAGTGTTGGACAATGATGACAGTAAACAGATTTTTTTCAGTCTCAATTTATCTGCTTATCACCTACT